TGTGTATGTATGTGTGTATGTATGCATGCAGAACTTGCAATTTTGGGAACAATATCCATTTAGATTACTTCCTCTTCCCCTGCTGACTTGTTCTGGAATTCTTTGACCAATTCTGACTTTCAAGATCTAGCTAGTTTCTTTTATTTCTTCCTCCTTTCTTTTTTTTTTTCTTCTTTCTTTTCATGGCTGGCATAAACATGTGATCATATCTTCCCATTTGTCTAAGATACACCAGAACTCACCCTGAAACATTAATTGCAGGGAGAGAAAGTATAGATGTCACAGAGTTGCTGATAACCAAGACATTCATAACTTGCTTGACAGAGAAGGTGAAGGTCAATCTGTGCAAAGCCTGTAGTATTGGCTGCTGATTGTTTTTTTTTTTTTAATCAGTTTTACTCCATGCAAGGCAGTAAAGCCACTAAAACACAAGCGGTTACAGGATGTGGAAGAATTAGGAACAGAAACATTTATAATTAGGAGAACGAGAAAAAAAAATCAAGGGGACAGCAGATAGCAAATGATATTGCATTTAAATTTATTACAGATTAAAGTTGGCTGGAAAGCATGAATCCAGAAGGGAGTTCCACAAGTGAGAAGTACGAGAAAAGAAACTGTTAGCATAGAGGTTACAGTTACATCTAGACATTTCAATTGTAAATGATGAGACCTAAATGATAATAATATATGTATATTCACTAACACTCAGTAATTCCTTGCATCTTAGTAGATGTATTGCCTTGCTTGGGGTGAAATGATTAAAAAAAAGATATTGACATTAAATTTCAGAGAAACTTTTGAGTCTGTCAAGTTAGAATAAAATTAGATAAATAGAAATATTGGAACACTAAAGAAATGATCAAATCAGCAGTCACTGACAAAAAGTCGTATATTGAAATTAAAAAAAAATGAAGATAATGATTGATGTTACATTTGAATTTTTGAAATTCAGATTTGACTGGAAAGCAAGAAGCTGCAAGAGAGTTCCACAAGTGAGAAGTGTGGTAGAATAAACTGTTAGCATAGAACTTACGGTTACATCTAGCCATTTCAACTGTAAATGATGAGTCCTTGCCACCAATCTAGTAATGTCCTTACCACCATCTAGTAATTCATAAATTCATAAAGTCTAAGTACAATAGAGGCAAGTTCACCAGAACAATTAAGAAGAAACTGTTAGCATAGAACTTACGGTTACATCTAGCCATTTCAATTGTAAATGATGAGTCCTTGCCACCAATCTAGTAATGCACATAAATTCATAAAGTCTAAGTACAATAGAGGCAAGTTCACCAGAACAATTAAGAAGAAGCTGTTAGCATAGAACTTACGGTTACATCTAGCCATTTATATTGTAAATGATGAGTACACCAGAACAATTTTTTACTCCATCTAGCCATTTTAAATTCATAAAGTCTAAGTACAATAGAGGCAAGTTCACCAGAACAATTAAGAAGAAACTGTTAGCATAGAACTTATGGTTACATCTAGCCATTTCAATTGTAAATGATGAGTTCTTACCACCAATCTAGTAATGCACATAAATTCATAAAGTCTAAGTACAATAGAGGCAAGTTCACCAGAACAATTAAGAAGAAACTGTTAGCATAGAACTTATGGTTACATCTAGCCATTTATATTGTAAATGATGAGTACTAGCCACCAATTTTTTACTGCACTTAAATTCATAAAGTCTAAGTACAATAGAGGCAAGTTCACCAGAACAATTAAGAAGAAACTGTTAGCATAGAACTTATGGTTACATCTAGCCATTTCAATTGTAAATGATGAGTCCTTACCACCAATCTAGTAATGCACTTAAATTCATAAAGTCTAAGTACAATAGAGGCAAGTTCACCAGAACAATTAAGAAGAAACTGTTAGCATAGAACTTATGGTTACATCTAGCCATTTATATTGTAAATGATGAGTCCTTACCACCAATCTAGTAATGCACTTAAATTCATAAAGTCTAAGTACAATAGAGGCAATTAAGAAGAAAGTTCACCATCTAGAACAATTAAGAAGAAACTGTTAGCATAGAACTTATGGTTACATCTAGCCATTTCAATTGTAAAATGATGAGTCCTTACCACCAATCTAGTAATGCACTTAAATTCATAAAGTCTAAGTACAATAGAGGCAAGTTCACCAGAACAATTAAGAAGAAACTGTTAGCATAGAACTTATGGTTACATCTAGCCATTTATATTGTAAAATGATGAGTAAACTAGCTAAGTACAATAGAGGCAAGTTTTTTACTGCACATTAAATTCATAAAGTTCTTACCACCAATCTAATGTACAATAGAGGCAAGTTCACCAGAACAATTAAGAAGAAACTGTTAGCATAGAACTTATGGTTACATCTAGCCATTTCAATTGTAAATGATGAGTCCTTACCACCAATCTAGTAATGCACTTAAATTCATAAAGTCTAAGTACAATAGAGGCAAGTTCACCAGAACAATTAAGAAGAAACTGTTAGCATAGAACTTATG